AGAAGAAGAAGAAGAAGAAGAAGAAGAAGAAGAAGAAGAAGAAGAAGAAAATATTATGGTTGAAAATGGCCAAGAAAATTAAACATTTGGGAGTGTTAGCATTCTTATTAGGGAGAAACAGAGAATCGGGATTAGTTTGGAAAGGTGAACTGTAGACGTATTTCAAGGTCCTTATGTCTACGTTAAGGGATTTCAGTTTTGTTCTATAGGCAATAGAGAGACATCAAAGATTTTTAAACAGGAAAGATGTATTAAGGTTTGCTTATTAAATCTCTACTGTAGTAATATCCAATTCTGAGCTGGCTTTGGGAGTCTAGTATTAGGAAATTAGAGAAGCTTATTATAATGCCCATGGGTGAGATGAGTGAAGGCTTAACAAAAGCCAAGTGGACTGGCTGTAAGTAGTTTAAAATTGCACTTAACACACTCTTAGGTAATACTCTACATAATCTCTTCACATATTGTTTTGTTTGGGATCAGCCTCATTAATTTTATTTAAAAAATTTTTTTAAATTTGAGTATAGAGGACACAAAATGTTACATTAGTTTCAAGATGTACAACATAGGGATCGAATATTTCTGTACATTATGCTGTGTTCACCACGGTGTAACTACCATCTGTCACCATACAATGCTATTACAATACCATTGACTATATTCTCTCACTGCACCTTTTATTCTTGTTACTGATTCATTCCATAACTGGAAACCTTTATCTCCCACTCCCATTCACCCGTTCTGCCTATCCCCTACCTCCAATTCCCTCTGGCAGCCACCAGTTTGTTGTCTGTATTTATAGGTCTGATTCTTCAGCTGCATTTCTGTTTCATTTTTTATACTGGTTAAAAATCTGTGCAGAGAGTTATAACTGCATTTAAAAAAAATAAATGTTGAAAGTACAGTGTTAGTTTATCAAGAAGCAAAATAATAAAATAACCAATAGGTAACTATTAAAAAATCAGACTGGTTCATTTTGGTCATTCAGGTAAAGGTAACCATCATTTTATTTACCTGTGAAATATTTATTCCATGTAAAGACTAACGGCAACTTTTATGTAATATCCTTAGATATATCATTTTCTTATTTTAATCCTAGTAGAGTTCTCCATTTTTGTACTTTTAATCTAGTTCATTATATCGCTCACCTTCTACACCTAATTTGAGCATCAGCAAAGACAACTGTTACCGAGAGTATTATGTCTTGAAAATTATTAAAGTAAAGCTGAGTATCATTGATAAATGAGAGTTACTTATCAGGACTTAGCATATAGTGAAATACGAAATTGACTAGTGTAATTTTTCAAAAGCAATTAGTTGTCTAAGTAGAAGATAAGGGATTAAGTATAAAATATTTCTAAAGCAAACTAAGGTAAATTAAACATTACATATTTAAAAGTTTAAACATGACACTTGCAAGCTAACATTACCTTGCAGCATGGTGATGAATGTCAGTGTGCTTCTTCTGGGTAAACAGAGGAAGTTCAGTATTACAATGACAGCTACAGGTCTTAAATAATTGCCTTGAAACATTAGATGATAGGGTGTTCCAGTTGTTCCATGTTTCTTTGCTGCAAAAAAAGGAAAGTAGGATAAGCCACGTCATTCAAGGTCTATTTAAACGGCAGCAGAGTTACCAGAAAATGCCAAGTGGTCAAGACAGTATGAGTTTTCTTCTCTGAAATCATAGATTTTTTTTCAGCTAAAATGAAGTTATGTTTTTATCATGACAAACCAATTGAACAGTTAAACATACTTGGTAGGAACTGATTGCTTTGATTCATCATGGCCTTTAATTAGCTTGAATTATAACTTTAATTGATTTGACTGACAACCAGGTATTATAGCACCATGACGAAACAACTTCCCTTCATATTTGCAGAAATTGATGAAATTTCAGTGTGGTTCAAAAAATATTTGTTGAACATCACTATGTGCTATACATCGTGCTGTATACTGCTGCTTTATGCAGTAAGTGAAAGGAACAGAAATATAAACTAATAACCACAATTGCTGGACCAGATAATGTGCTAATATCATAACGTCAAACATAGAAGTACTAGAGTGAAGTGCAAAACTCTCAGAGAAAAGGGTAATATCTATTTTCGTATTAGTAAATATGTCACATATAGATGCATCCTGAGCAGAATGGGCAGAAAGTGTAAAGGCACATGTAATCACAAGTAAATTGGTATCTAGAGGTCGTGAATCTAGAGAGGTAGTCAAACGCTACCTCTCAAAGGTTCTTGTTTGTTAAGTTTGTTTTAAATCTTACAGGTAACAGGAGACCAATGACTATTTTCAATGAAGGAGTAGTTTGACCTGTTTTGTTTTAGAAATACTTGTTTTGAAGGCAGTTTAGAGAATGGATTTTAGTGCTGACAAATATTCCATGAGACTAGTTAGAAGGTTACTGTAGCATTCTAGCATGTAGACGGTTTTGGTTCATTGGCTGTGGGCATGAGAACAAAGGAGATCTTGAGAATAACAAATAGATTCCAACTTTGAGTTACTGAGTAGATGGTCATGTTAGACTCTGGGATAAAGAATACAGGAGGTTTTCTTGAGATCAAATAATGAGTTCTTTTGAGACACAATTGAGTATAAAATTCCTTTGGGATGTCCAGTAGGTAGTAGGTAGTGGGTAGTTTACTAAATGAACTCAAAGGAGAGGTAGAGCTTTCTATGCACATTTTTCAGACATTAGTATACAGATCAATGCTGCAAACTTTAGTTAGGTCAGATTTATTTGGAGATAATATTTGGAGTGTGAGGAAGAGTGCAATTGTTGAGAACTCTTATGTTGAAGGGGTGGGAAGAGAAAGAATACATCACCAAGGAAGTTAAGGAAAAATAATCAGAAAGCAGGAATGCAAACCAAGAAAAGAAGAACATCATGAAAAGAGAGGTAATTTTTTTTAAAGGAGTAGGAATTATCAAAATGCCATAAAGTACGATGAGAACTAAAAAGTGTGGAAGGATGTAGTGACTAGCAATTCATGCCCATGATGAGAGTCACTCCAACAAAGATGTAGAGACAAAAAACACATTCCAATCATGGCAAATTCAATGTGGTACTGAAAATGACAGAAGCGAGGTAGGCTCTCCCTGCAGGGATACAGGATCTGGGTAAGATGCTTAAGTCTTAAAGAAAAAAAAAAAAAACAACCTTATACAAACAGCAATAAATGATGTCTAGTATTACCCAGGTAAGATATTTCTTAATTTTCTGCTTTTCAATATTTTATCTTTTAAAGTAAAAGTAAAGATAAGGAAAAAAAGTGTTATCAGAAATGTTCTTATAGAATGCTATTTTGGAGGTGGTACATTAGGAAAGCTAAGATATAAAACCTTGGATTCATATCACCTCTGTTCAAATTATGCTCTGCCTCTTGCTAATTGTTTGATCCCAGCCAGTAAATAAATCCCTTCTGCCTCAGTTTTCTCACCTGTAGTAAGGATATGAATGGGCTTATGTCAAGGATAAATTAGCTAATATATATATATATATATATATATATAAACACACACACACACACACACACACACACACACACACACACATATATATACACACACACACTATATTTATAAAAGATCTGGACCCACAAATGCTTAATAAAGGTTACCTTTATTATTTCTCTAATAAAGAGAGACTCTTCATTCTTTATTCAATATTCCTAATTCTGGTAAGATGTATGTCATAATATGTATAGGCCAGTGAAGATTTTAAGTAGCTCCCTATGAAGCATACCACAAATTCTGGTTTTCTTTTCCCTTTTTAAAATTTTCCCTTCATCACAGGTGGTATTAGATAGTGGCCATGGATTGTTAGAAGATATTAAATAGTTAAATAGTACTCTTAGGTTACACTTAATATAGTAAAAATGTTCCACATTTTCATCAAGTCTTATAGTTTTTATTGTACAAATCTTTCATTTCCTTCGTTAAATTTATTCTTCAGTATTTTATTGTTTTTAATGCTATTGAAAGAAAGGTTCGATTTTCTTTCTAATTACACTTTGGTAGCTGGAATTGGCTTCTATTAAATGTGATTTCACATAGGTCTGAGACAAGTGTGGTTTCTGACCTTATGATACACAGCAATATTTTTAATTGACAAAATTCTCAATTGTCAGTGAAAGAAGAAGAAATTGGAAAAGAGAGACAAAGAAGTGGAGAAAGGGAAGAGAAAGAAGAAAGGAAGGCAAAAGAGAAAGAACAAAGGAAGGGAAAGAAGGGGAAAATGTACATAGAAAATAACTATATTTTAATAATTATATAAGAAAAGACTGGTTAGAAAAATCTACCAAATTCATAAAAGCTACAGTCTTAATAGTGATTGTGTTTGCCTGATGGGACATTTTTTTTCCTTCTTAAAATATTTAGTACTTTTTTGTATTTTCCATAATTAGAGCATGTTTATTTTTCACTTGGAAAAACTTTTAATTAAAAATACCATATGTGGCCACGTGTGTCCTGGCGTCTGGGGAGGGCACATGGCAGCTGGTAAAAATCAAGGTGACCCCAAGAAAATGGCTCCTCCCCCAAAGGAGGTAGAAGAAGACAGTGAAGATGAGGAAATGGCAGGAGATGAAGGTGATGATAGCAGTGGAGAAGAGGTTATCGTCCCTCAGAGAAAAGCCAAGAAGGCTACTACAACTCCAGCAAAGAAGGTGATGTTTTCCCCCAACAAAAAAAGTCACAGTTGCCACACTGGCCAAGAAAGCAGTTGTCATCCCTGGCAAAAAGGCAGTGGCTACACCAGCCAAAAAGACCGTTGTGCGGGCCAAAGCAGTAGCAACACCTGGCAAGAAGGGGGTCACACCAGGCAAGGCACTGGTAGCAACCCCTGGTGAGAAAGGAGCAGCCACCCCAGCCAAGGGAGCAGAGAATGGTAAGAATGCCAAGAAGGAAGACAGTGCTGAGGAAGATGATGATGACAGTGAAGGGGGGACTAGGAGGAGGAGGAGGAAGATGAGGAGCAGGAGGAGGAAGAAGAGGAGGAGGAGGAGGAAGAAGAGGAGGAGGAGGAGGAAGAAGAGGAAGAGCCTGTTAAAGAAGCACCTGGAAAATGAAAGAAGGCAATGGCCAAACAGAAAGCAGCTCCAGAAGCCAAGAAGCAGAAAGTAGAAGCTACAGAACCAACGACATCATTCAATCTTTTTGTTGGAAACCTGAACTTGAGCAAATCTGTTCCCGAATTAAAAACGGGCATCAGTGACCTTTTTGCTAAAAATGATCTTGTCGTTGTGGATGTCAGAATTGGTGTGTCCAGGAAGTTTGTCTATGTGGATTTTGAATCTGCTGGAGACCTGGAAAAAGCTTTGGAACTCACTGGTTTACAAGTCTCTGGCAATGAAATTAAACTAGAAAAACGAAAGGGAAAAGACAGTAAGAAAGATCGAGATACAAGAACACTTTTGGCTAAAAATCTGCCTTACAAAGTTACTCAGGATGAACTAAAAGAAGTATTTGAAGATGCTGAGGAGGTCAGATTAGTCAGCAAGGATGGAAAGAGTAAAGGGATTGCTTATATTGAATTTAAGACTGAAGCTGATGCAGAAAAAAACCTTGGAAGAAAAGCAGGGCACAGAGATAGGTAGGCGGGCTATCCCCCTGTTCTACACCGGAGAGAAGGGTCAAAGTCACGACTCTATAGGTGGCAAGAGTAGCACTTGGAGTGGTGAATCAAAAACACTGGTTTAAAGCAACCTCTCTTACAATGCAACAGAAGAAACCCTTCAGGAAGTATTTGAGAAGGCAACTTTTATTAAAGTGCCCCAGAACCAAAATGGCAAATCTAAAGGGTATGCATTTATGGAATTTGCTTCATTTGAAGATGCTAAAGAAGCTTTAAATTCCTGTAATAAAAGGGAAATTGAGGGCAGAGCAATCAGACTAGAGTTGCAAGGACCCAGCGGATCACCTAATGCCAGAAGCCAGCCGTCCAAAACTTTGTTTGTCAAAGGTCTGTCTGAGGATACTACAGAAGATACATTAAAGGAGTCGTTTGATGGCTCTGTTCGAGGAAAGGCAGTCACTGACTGGGAGACTGGGTCTTCCAAATGGTTTGGTTTTGTAGACTTCAACAGTGAGAAAGATGCCAAAGCTTCCAAGGAGGCCATGGAAGATGGTGAAATTGATGGAAACAAAGTTACTTTGGACTGGGCCAAGCCTAAGGGTGAAGGTGGCTTTGGAGGTTGTGGTGGAGGCCGAGGTGGCTTTGGAGGCCGAGGTGGTGGCAGAGGAGGCCGAGATGGATTTGGTGGCAGAGGCTGGGGAGGCTTTGGAGGGCGAGGAGACTTCCGAGGAGGCAGAGGAGGAGGGGGAGACCACAAACCACAAGGAAAGAAGACGAAGTTTGAATAGTTTCTTCCATCCCTCTGTCTTTCCCTCTTCTGTTTGAAAGAAAAGGACTCTGGGGTTTTTATTCTGTTACCTGATCAATGACAGAGCCTTTTGAGGACATTCCAAGATAGTAGAGTCCTGTGGTCTACTTGGAAATTTGTATAGATAACATTTCAAGGGAGATACCCTGTTGGTTTTGACTGGATATTCATATAAATTTTTTAAAAGAGAAGAGTGATAGAGCTAATCCTTATCTGTAAGTTTTGAATTTATATTGTTTCTTCCCATGTACAAAACCATTTTTTTCCCCTACAAATCGTTTTGTTTTTGTTTTTTGCAATGGGGTTTGTAAAGGAAAGCAGAATGTTTTATCATGATTTTTGCTTCAGCTACTTTGGGACAAATTAAAAGTCCTAAACTCTGAAAAAAAAATCATATGGGAAGTATTTTCTCTGCTTCCTATGTTGAATGCATCTTTTAAACAGAAATAACTGTTGTAGTGGTTTTGAACAAGGTAATTTATGGCCGCTCAAAGAAGGCACCTAATTGAAGTCGATTTCATAGTTCCCTTTGTAAGGAACATATTGGCTTTATGCAGGAGGTATAATTTTCCCAAAACCTTTACTTTCTTTATATGACACAGCAGAAGTATACTTAGTGTTTTGTCTAGTGTGACTTAAAATGATTTCATGCTATTGATATTCTTTCAACTTCTCACTATGTAAGATCTTATTATACTTTTGTGCTCAATTTTATCATGAATCACTTCCTATTTCACCAACTCTGCCATAGAATTCATTGGTATCACTGGCTAAATGCTCAGAAAATCAAATTCCATACCTTATTTTGGAGGCCAAGATTTGAGTAATTTCTTATATCAAAAACAGTAATGCAGAAGAAACTTGTCTCTTGAAAAATATGGCAAAAACAGTTAATATTTATCTAACAATTGTCTGAAGTAATTAAAGTATGTTACATGTAATCCTCTCAAAAGTAGGTTATGGATAAGGAGACACACCTTCAAGGAGGCTGAAGAATAATCAGTAATGGGGTTGGCACAGCTCAGTAAGAATTCCTGCTTTTTAATTTCTATCACATTGCAGAACTTTCTGCATTAATTAAATCATACAAATGAAAAGAAATGTTACTTATAAAAAGTTAACAGAGAAGATTAAAAAAGAAAACAATTTTTAAGTCAAATGAGCAAGTCCTAGTTTAATCTGTGATCCATATGCATGAATATGTACACACACACACACACACACACACACACACACACACACACACTTGCCCCATGGGATTTCAACTCTAATCCATGGTTCAATCCATTCTACTACTCCCACTTCATCCTGTCTTAATTATTTTCCCCAAAAGACTCACAAAATGGAATTGTGCTAGACACTTTTTATACTTTTTCCAGACATGTCCAATTCTGTCTGAATCACATATGGAACACTGTCAACTCTCATGCCTGAAACGCTGATATACTTCATATGTCTTTGAATCTAGAAACTAATTATTATGTTCTATGGGACTCTTCTGAAATAAGGTATAAAAGAAACCATTATTGTCATTCATTCTAGTTCATTCAGGGTAAAATAACTGGTTTATATTCAACTGTATTTGGGTAAAATTTCAGTGGAAAGAACCCAGGTTGTTAGTAAATTAAATTATTCTTCCTTTACTTTTAGAGAATGATGAAGAAGACAAAAATGTAATATTTTTTCAATAATTTGTTTTATTTTATTTTTTGAAGATTTGTTTATTTATTTTGAGAGAGAGAGTTGGGGGGGGATTGAGTGGCAGAGGGAGAGAGAGTCTTAAGCAGACTCTGTACTGATTGTGGAGCCTGACCCTGAGATTAGAACCTGAGCTGAAACCAAGAGATGGATGCTTAACCTACTGTGCCACCCAGGCACCCCTCAATAATTTATTTTAGAAGTAAGCATTTCTAAAGATGTCTTGATATCAATATTCTTTCAGCATAATTTTATTAATCATTTCATTCTACTATGCCAGAATAATAAATGTACAAAGGGGAACCCTAATTAACTAAACCAAAGAATAATTATTTTGCACTTATTTTATAGAACTCAAATACAATTTTCCACGATTTTCAACAAGAATTAAACAAGTTTTCTTCTGAAACACAATTAACAAGAGAAATAGTCTTCATAAAACACCCCATTTCCAAGCCCTCTTATTAGATAACTGTGCTAGAATTTTCTCACCTACCCTTTTCTCTTGTTTCTGTGTGGTGACAGCTCTTTAGCATTCAACTCTTTAAGTTTTCACTAAACTGTCATAAAGACACAACTTAAGATTCTTTTTAAGGATGTTAATTATTTTTAACATACACAAACATGTTTCGTTTATGGTTAAGTAGGCAACTAATTTTAAAATATGCTTCAGATTTATGCTAAAAGCTGCTTGTTGATAGATCTGTCATAAGGTTTTCCTTCACACTCAAGTAGATGTGACAAAATGTGATGGCGAATACATAAACAAATGGTTCAATAAGACTCCTAAGAACACTAGTTAAAAGAGAAAATACTTAAATAAGACTTTAAGCTTGAAAATTCTAGCTTAAAGGATATATAACCCCAAGAGAAAAAGGAACAGAAAGAGATTTTTAACTTGGTTATTAGGGTAAATATAGACCTGTTCATATATTTTGTTATTCTAATTTAAGTTTTCAAGAGTTTAAAAAGATCCCCCAAAGAAATTGATCTCTACATGATATATGATGTTGCTGTTTAATAATATTTTAGAGAAAGAGAAGAAACAATATCACTAAGGGGATGAGATTCATTTGAGCATTCCACATTCAAAGAATATGTGATTTCAAGTTCCTAAGAAATACATTTATTTTTTATTAGAACTAGCTTTATGAAAGAGACTCGTTCGGGGGGCAGAATGACAAAGACGCTACTGTAGTGTGTGAGGATGGATTAATGAATTCTGAACTCTTCATGTCTGTTCCATAACCCCTTACTGTACTATAATCATGAGACAAATGAGCATACACAATACACTATGACTTTGTGAATACTGAACTGATATCTTCAGGTCATGCTATTTTCATTTTGAAATGTTTTCATTCTGATATTGTCTTTCTACCATGAGGAATAGAGAGTGCAAGGAATACACAGACATAAACAAGTATGGTGGCCATGACATTTTCACCCCTCCTCAGGCCCCTTTACTAGGGACTCGTGCAGTGGCTTCACATTGGGGGCAGTGTTTATTTCTCTGCTTCCTGATTGTATGTTTGGGTAGATGATTTCTTCTGGCCAATAGAATGACATGGAAATGATTGTGTGCCAGTTCTAAGCCTAGGCATCAGGGGATCTTTTATGCTTCTGTTTGCTCTAGTTCACCCTTGTTATCACCCCTGGAACAAACTATTGCAAACTCACTGGTTCCAAGAGGGAGATGATATACAAGTGGAACAGAGCTGCCACCAGCTGAGCCAAGCTAAGATCAGCATCCCCAAGCTGGCTGTAAACCCATGAATGAACCCATCTCCAGCCAGTTTATGGTGGCCAAATCCTCAGGTGGTCTGCAGACTGGTGAGCTAAATACATGCTTACAGTTTAAATTTGTTGATATATTATTTGTTATGCAGCATTACTGTGGCCAAAGATAGCTGTTAGAAGTATGGCTTCTTTCTTTTTTTTAAATTTTAATTCCAGCATAATTAACATCCTGTGTTAAAGCAGTTTCAGGCATATAATATAGTGACTCAACACTTCTATCCATTACTCAGTGCTCATTACAGTACGTGTACTCTTAGCCCCCTTCACCTACTTCACCCATCCCCCACCCACCTCCCATCTGGTAACTACCAGTTTTCCCCCTATGTTTAAGAGTCTGGGTTTTTTTTTTTTTTAAATCTTTTTTTCTTTGTTCATTTGTTTTGTTTCCTATATTCCACATGTGAGTGAAATCATATGGTATATGTCTTTCTCTGACTTATTTCACTTTATATAATACCTTGTAGATCCATCTCTGCTGTTGCAAATGGAAAGAGTTCATTCATTTTTATGGCTGAATAATATTCCATTCTCTCTATATACATACCACATCTTCTTTATCCATTTATCTATGGATAGATACTTGGGTGACTTCCATAATTTGGCTATTGTAAATAATACTGCTATAAACACAGGGGTGCAAATATGTTTTCAAATTAGTGTTTCCGTATTGTTTGGGTAAATACCCAGTACGGGAATTACTTGATCATACGGTCATTCTACTTTAAATTTTTTCAGGAACCTCCATATTGTTTTCCACAGTGGCTGCACCAGTTTGCATTCCCACGAACAGTGCACAAGTGTCCCTTTTCCTCCACATCCTTGCCAACACTTGTTACTTCTTGTCTTTTTGATAGCCATTCTGACCAGTATGAGATGATATCTCATTGTGGTTTTGATTTGCATTTCCCTGATGATGAGTGATGTTGAGCCTCTTTTCATGTGTCTGTTGGCCGTCTGTATGCCTTCTCTGGAGAAATATCTGCTCATGTCTTCTGAGTATGGCTTCTTTTTTGAAGACTTTCACAGTAAGTTGGGAAGGGACATGAGTAATGGAGATCACCTTGCAGGCTGTTACAGTGTTCGTGTGTCCAGTGATCTGAATCAGTTATTAGAAATTAGAATGGTAAGTAAGGAGAGATATGAAAGACATTTCAAGCCGAGTATGGGCCAGATTAGAAGACTTAATGCAAAGTGAAAATAAAAAAAGATAGATTAGTAAGAAAATGAGTATGTAATTTCTAGATCTTCATTGTCTAATAGAGAAGCCATTAACCACATATGACACTTTAAATATAAATTAATTAAAATTAAGTAAAATAAAAAATTAGTTTCTTATTCTCACTAACCACACTTCAAGTGCCCAATAGCCACATATCCTTAGTGGCTACCGTATGGATAGTTCATAAAAAATTTTGATTATTGCACAAAGTTTCATTAGACAGTGCTAAGACAGCACTATTTAGATGACCAAAGGCTCTCTGAGCTCAAGTTTCTTTATATGCCTTATGAACATAATAATTATTGCCATAAATATCCCCTGATATAGTAGTGAGGATTCAACTCAATGCATGAAAGCACTTTGCAAACTGAAAAAATGCTTTGTAAGTATAAGGCACTATTGTTGTTCTTGTTTAGTGGATGATCATTATGCCTTTGACTATAAAAAGAGATCCTCATATCACAATGTCTGTAGGAGTTGGCTTCACTGAGATATCCAATGACCTTGGTAATTGCTCTAATTCTTAGGAAGCAAGCATAAAAATATTAAA